ACCTCTTGCGGAGCCTAATTATAACTGTGACAATATTGTAGAAAATGCTCGCGATAAATTTTATTTAACGTATACTTATACTTTTATCTCAGTTAGAATATATATACATTTATATACATATATACATTATATTTACATATATATTATATTTGTTATTGCAAAGAGAACATCACAGTATTGTCGCCTATCAATAAGCACGTATTGATGGGACATCATAGGTTATTTCCTAGCATAAAAGTTATCGAAGAACATAAACATGACTATTTAGATATTGATGTCTTTGGTGCATAAGAAGAAATGGATTTCTGATTCAAGCTTGCGATTTTGGGTTGTCTATGCATCACTTCAGTTAAAACGTTTTGCAGCTTTAAAATGAGAATATTGTAATAAATGCTCAAACCTATGGTAATTAACTAATATTTTTCTGAATATAGGTAGTTCAATATATGACAATAACCTTCCTTCCTATGACAATAAAGAATTTAGTGAATCGGCGGTTATTACAATGGGTACTTGACATAATAAAAAGTAAAGCTACAGTTTAATACCACTAACTATTATCAAGCTACTAACCACTAACTATTACAATGTAATAAGTAGTATTTAAATATATGTTAACAGAAAAGTATATAGATTGTAGAGAAGTTTTGCGTGCAGGATATTAGTTAAGTAGGAACCGGAATCTTGAGTGTATCTATGAAAAGAACAAAATCATGAAAACTCAAAAAGTAAGGAAGTCGAAGAGTTCACTTAAGAAAGATTTGCATTAATTTTTTTTTAAATTTTACAATCATTAGTATATGTTATGATGGCAAGTAACTCCTGATTTTTTAATACTATGTAGGTATTTATAGTGTCCATGCAATAATACACAATTGTACAATTATTTATTGCAAATACTTTGTAACTACCATTTTAAAAGTGAAAAATAATATGTATTTAAATGCGTATAGGGTCATAATCTGACTACTATATAGGTAATATAATAGATATTGACAATAGTAATTGCATTGCTATATTGGTGTGCTGCAAACTTGATTCTGAATTCCTTGATATAAAACTGCTGTACTCGGAATACAATTTTAGATTATTAGGCAAGGTTGAACGCCAAAAACTATAGACTCGGATATTAAGCAATTTTTGAATAATCGAATCTGATTATTTTTGCTCAAAATGAGAACCAGAAAGAAACTAAAGTAGATTGTTAACTGATTGCAGCAACAAATTCACCCTTTTTACGTTTCCAAGATTCAATTTTTTTCAACTACTCAATATGTCATCACTCATTCTGTGGGGTTGTGGCTTGCTTTATCAAACACAACCAGAAGCTAAGTTACGGAAGCTAATTTAGTTTCTAATTAACTAAGTTTAGCTAGAATTTCTTTTAACAAATTTTTATCGGTTAGAGACTATTCCGTTTCCAATTAATTCTTTTGTTTATTTGTCAAATGTATGTCAAATGTATGTCAAATTTTATGTAAGATTTTGAAATCTTTTTATGGTTTGTCCAGTAAGTTAGCTTGAAGGTATTGCACTAAAAGCACTTAATAAATAATTGAATGAATATATATGAAGTAACTTACCTTTGCTGTCATTTGTGGCTCCATTTCTGCTATCATTTCTCAATGCAGTTAAGGCCAGTTCAACAATGTCAGAATGTGCCATCAAGTTGTTCTTCGACTAAAATATATGCAATATTTTGCAATTCGATTTGTTTTTATTTGTTCTTTAATTACGGAAAACTCACCTTTTCAATATCGTCCATCATGACAGCATTTATCTTTGGCATTTGTTCACTTTTCCCAATCGCATTGACAATCAATTTTAAATCGTCACGTCGATCCTGTGGATATGAAAGCCATTAAATCTTATTTCAGAATAAAACCAAATTTAGCGAAATAGCTTTGAATTAAGTTTCTAAAACTTTAAACACACCTTGAAGAAAATGAAGAGTTGACTTTACATTCAAAAATATCTAAATATCAAAAAATTTTCAAAAAAATATTAGACCGAATTTTTTTGTAACAAAAAATCTTTTTTTTTATTAAAAATGATTTTATTGAAGTTTCAACACAACAAGCATAACATGTTTAGTCAAAAAATTCAATATTTTTTATGATTTCAATATTTTGTATTTATCACAACGAAAAAGAAATAACATTGGTTTGGATTTCTCTATGTTTGAAAGACATGAATTTCTAACCACAGTGATAGCTTACGAATACGCACGTGACACTCGCGTGACACTCACGAGATACTCGATGCACAAAAATCAGATACCAAATAAAACTCTTTTGGAGTCCAAGCACTTGTCCAAGGACCAAACTATGCAATCTTAGAAGATAATTTCTTATTGTGAGAAATTTCTTATTATCTTTCAATTTAGATACATTTTGGAACTCCTGTGCAATGCAGTTCACTTTTTTTATATCTTTTATACGGAATGCGCTTAAAAGCTGTACTGCGGCGGCACGTCCGACATAAGTTCAAAAAATTTCATACTAACGCAATAAGCAATTCTTGTAGACACGCCGCGAGCAAATCTTGAAAAAAAGACGCGGGCGTTTGTGTTACTTTTGCTGTCTGGGAGCGTTACGTTTTCATTTTCGAATAAAAAATGGTGTTGATTTTTCCAAGACTTAATGAGAATTTAAACTAAACGTAATATAAAACATAAATTTTGAAAAATTGTTGCTCATTTTATTTATTTATTTTGATGTTGATGTTCTTTTCACATTCTACCGCACTTTAAAATTAGCTTTTTTACTGCGGCACTTTTAGTGTTTTTTGATATTTTTAGTTGGGCTTGATTTCGCCCCCGCAACACAGAAAATTGAATTATGTTCCAAGAAACTTAAACAGTAGTGCATCGAGCACAGTGGAACAAATAAATGAAAATATTTAGCAATGATAGAAATTCGCAAATATATATATATACTTTATACTTCTAACGTCAATCAGCTCAGCTATCTAACATTTAAGAAATGTGAGTCGACATTCAAATTGTGCTTCTGAGTTAAACTCTGGCATAGTAACGCCAAGCCCATTCCACTATAAGAACTAAGCGGAATGTTCTATTGGTTTTTGAAAAATGATTCCTTTCTATTACGTTTACAATCATCGCAATATAATGATTTTTGTGAAATGTTCCCACACCAATCGGATTCGCAGATTGTAATTAAAAATTTACTGTGTGAAATTGTGTTCCATATAAGGACTGTTTCTCGATAAATATAAGAATAAATTCCCTAAACAATCACTTTTGCATTTATACTAATTTATTAGTAAATAATTTGAGTGTTTCAATATAAACCCATTTGCTTTTTTAATGTAATAATGTATAGTTCTATTTCTATTTCTATTTAACTATCCTGATTTTGGCTTAATTCTAGTTTCCTGAGTGCGTCGCTCGGACACCGGGCTAGTGGCTGGCAACTATACTTTCGAATCTGTCAAGGATTTCATCTACCTTGGCGCCGCCGTAACGAATACAAATGATGTCAGTCTGGAGATCAGACGAAGAATCACCATTGCTAATAGGTGCTACTATGGGCTCAGTAGGCAATTGGGATGTAGAGCCCTCTCTCGACAAACGAAACTTACGCTCTATAGGTCGCTCATCCTCCCTGTGCTTCTGTATGGCGCAAAAGCATGGACGTTATCACAGAATGATGAAGCAGCACTGGGAGTGTTCGAGAGAAAAGTTCTTCGTAAGATCTTTGGTCCTCTACGAGTTGGCGACGACTACCGCATTAGAATGAACCACGAGCTGTACAAGCTTTATCACAGCATTGATATAATTCACCGCATTAACATCCAGCGGCTTCGCTGGCTTGGTCATGTTGTGAGAATGGATGAAGACGCTCCGGCGAAAAAGGTGTTTGAAGCAGTAGTCGGCGGAAGAAGACGTTGAGGTAGACCGTGTCTCCGGTAGAGTGATCGAGTTGAGGGAGCACTAACTAGACTTGATATACGAGACTGGAGAAGGCGCGCACGCAGCAGAGGCGCCTGGGGAGACATGCTGCGTCAGGCCGAAACTCGGTAACGGGTTGTTATGGCCACATAAGTAAGTAAGTAAGAGTTTTTGTGCAATTGATATAATTTTATTGCCATTTGAGAAAATAATATTAATATTATCACCATAAGATACCATGTAATGGTTCATTCACGACATTGGCTTGTGGCCTGTCGAATTTAGCTTTGGGACCGCACATATTTTATTTTGCTATCTTATTTTGCTATTTTGCTATCTAAAGGAAATGCTAACATAGACATGCACTTTAAGAAAACGTAGAGGTATATATATGTATATAAAATTGTAATTGTATATGTAACTATATATATATATAATTATATGTAATTGTAATTATATATATATATCAGTGACGATTGCTCTAAGGTGCGGAGGTGTGCGGTGAACACCCTAACATAATTTGCAAAATGTCAAATAGCATAGGTATGTAAATTTATTAAGTATCTTCACATCAAGACTTATTGTTATGTATTACAATGATATATAAATATATATTTTTAAAAGTTTTAGCAAACACAATTAAATATAATTGTCTATCAAAACTCAATCAATTTGCTTCTGTTAGCTGCTGTACTTGTTAGTTGTGCTCATATATTTGCAGTTCAAATCACAGAACATTTCTATTTTATTTTGTCTCTCCCCTTTGTGTGCAAAGAAGTTGGCCGCACATTCATACGTTGCATATGAACAAAATAATGTGCGTATGCTCCCGTTCGTAATATCAGAAATAGAGATTTATATAGTAGGAATTGTATGAGAGTAATTTTCTGTTCTATTCGAATATCAACTACATGTATACGAATCCAACATGATGATTTGCCAAAGTGGTTGCATGAGCGGCTGAAGTTTGCAGCTCATCTCACCATACATTTCTATCACATTTCGTCTCTCCCCTTTTAACAATAGCACCCACGAATTTCTGTTCTTACTGTACGGAGTACTTGTCCGCACATTTATACGTTGCAAGTGGGTTTGATTTTGTTTGATCACTGGATAAACATGTATGGTTCTGAGTTAAAACTCTTTTGTTTGAAAAAAGTTGGTTTGATGTTACGAGAATTATGTGAAAAGTTTTGTTTCTTCCATATTGATATAATGTTAAATTTATATATAAATTATTAATTTAATTTATTTAATATGTTATTTTGTTAATAAATTGTTAAATAATATAGTTATTATTAATAAAACATCTCATATATTTTAATTTAAGTGGTACATGTAAAAACAACATTAAAGAAGGGCCGCACACCCTTCCAGACAGGGCACGCGTCGTCACTGATATATATATAATTTGTGACGACTAAATTTTTTTGAATAAATTTTAGTCTTGCCACAATACGCACTTCACACATATTGAAAAATGATGACGTCAAAGTTACCTGTAATGAAATAAAATTTGATGTTGTGTAAGCTAACATATCAAAAGAATGCTATACATACCTTGAAATACCCTTGTGAATATTTATTTTAATTAATATAATTCGAACAATATTAATTAAAATAAATTTAAATTATTACTTTTCGCGAACCGCATGAAACACATTGTATTAAAAGGCAGAAAAACAAAACAAAGCATGATCAAAACAAAAATAGAAAAAATGAGAAATGTCATTTTTTAATTTGTTTTGTGCATTTCGGTTGATCGTACAAATGTTGCAGCGGATAATAAAAGGGAAAAAAGCTGTGAGTGCAGTTTAAAGCTTTCAGAAGCCTGAAAAGAAACCAACAGAATACCTGATGAGGGGAAATGTTGAGGGTATTGACCGAACAACGGCTAGCAAAAAAGTCCGCTCGACGCAGTTAGAAAAAAAGGAGAATAAAAGGCGCAAGCGGAGGAGTTTCTGTCTCTTGGCTCGTGGTTATGTTGAACGCAACTCATCGTACCGGTGGTGTTAATTACTTAGTTTTTTTTTTTTAAATAAATAAAAAAAAGTTTTCTTTGCATTTTTTTATATAACAATTAAAACTACTTTAATATTAATTTAACCAGTGGAAATAAAATTCTTAAAATTGTGTAATTTTCTTTTTATAATATATAAAGAAACAAAAAAAATTTTGAAATAGTTTGTGTGGAAATAAAATTCTTAAAATTGTGTAATTTTCTTTTTAATATATATAAAGAAACAAAAAGAAATTTGAAATAGTTTGTCGAGACGGCGCGAAACGGGATTATAGTGTTAATAGCCACAGTATAAAAGAAATAATTGACGGCTTTAACAGTGGTCAATTAAAAGATTTTGTACTGGTGCTCGTTTGAACGTATAAACGTGTTGACACCACAAGCAAAAGACGTGGCGCGGCTTGGGTGTCTCTTTGTCTCCGATACGTGGCAAAGTTTAAATTGATTGGCGTTTCCTGATAATCATCGCTGGAGATTGTAAGCAGCCCTGATGTACCAGAGAGGGTAAGACTTATATATGTATAAAATACAGTGCGGATTTTCGCGTAAGTAACTTCAATGTATAAGCGTGAATTTATAAGCTATTTTATTTAAATCGGACGATAAGCGCATAGAAGCATAAACTTTCTAAACACAACAAGCTCATGAATTATTAGTTCTTATGAAATTGAATCTATGGAAAAAAAAATGTATCTTTGTAAAAATCGAAATTAAACAACTGAAAACAAGATATTTGTGAAAAAAAAATGTATTCTGTTATATGCAAACATAATCTTAATTAATTATAAAGTGTAACATTAAAAATTTAATTACTTAATCCACATTTAAGGAATGTAAAAATATTACATAAAATTCTAAGTGAAATACCAAAGTAATCTTCACACGACTACGCTTAATAGAAATTCTTCTTCCCTTATATTTTTATTTAAAAACATTTTATGAGTTTTTTTTTATAAATTTTGTTGTATTTAAGTGAACACAAAATGCATTTATGAAACGTTAAACTTAAAATATGATTAATTAATATTATTTTTTTTTAAAAGTTGAAATCAGTTAAATAGTATTTGCTTATTATTATCTACGAGTAATTG